ATTAAAATAGAAACCATTATTTTATATTGTAATAACATTTTGCAAGATTACTGTTTTTTTTCTGTATTTTTGATCAAATAAATGCAGCCTTGATGAGCATAAGAGACTTTAAAAAAACATTAAAAGCCTTACTGATACCAAACTTTTGACCGGTAGTGTATGTGTGTGTATATATGAGCAATATCACACTTGTAGAAGTGAGATATGGCTGTATATCGGCATGGCTGTGATTCGGCCGTAGGTCGAGTGCTGTAGGTAATCACAGCATGCCGATATACAGCCATATCTCACTTCTACGAGTGTGATATTGCGTTTATACAACAGTTTGACGGCACGAGTGTGTAAATAAATTAGAAACAACAATGGAGTGTCAAAAAAGCAAATTTTCAAACAGACGTTATCTTTATTAACAAACCGTATATTTGAAGTCTAACCAAGTACATTCTCACCTAAAAAAAACTCTTAAAAGCTACATTCCGTGACATAAAAACAGTATTGTTTTTAAATTTTAGTGGATTTGGGCATCCACCGTGACACTCATTGTGAGAAATAAGGGAAGCGGAGTGATCAGATTTAAATCTAAAGTTGACAGTTTAACAGCTGAGCCCCATTCTCCGTTACTAATTCCAAAACGTCACTTTAGAGCTAGTAACGAAGGAACGTTGAGTTGCTTCACTGAAAGCTTATTGTATTACTGTAGTAAAAGCTTGCTGTATTATGTAGAGTAAAGTATTATGAGAGAGAGATGAACTGAACGAGTGTGATACCTGCATCTGATACGGCATCTCAGTCTCCTACACACAATAAAACATAAGTTTGAATGTCCACTGAGGAAAGCGTTATCTTTGTCGTATCGTCAATCTCCTTTCATCTGTTAAGAGTGATCTCTGATGACAGCGCACAGCATCTCAGTCTCCTACACACAATAAAACATAAGTTTGAAAGCCCACTGAGGAAAGCGTTATCTTTGTCGTATCGTCAATATCCTTTCATCTGTTAAGAGTGATTTCTGATGACAGCGCTGCTCAGTGCATTTGTTAGCTGCGTCGTTGTTGAAATTAAAAATAACTTCCATTTACAAAAGCGTATTTTTCAATGTAAACGTCTCTACTGCAGTGCTGACTCATAAAAACAGTCTCTTGTCGCCATCTAATGGCAGAACAATGTAACTAAAATCACCATCACGAACACACACACACACACACACACACACTGTTTCC